CATTTAGACCATTGCGGAGCTCTTCCCTGGTTTCTCATGAAGACTACATTCAAAGGCCGGTGTTTTATGACTCACGCGACGAAAGCCATTTACCGCTGGATTTTAGCCGATTATATCAAAGTGTCGAACATTTCGGCGGAACTAATGCTTTACAATGAGTCAGATTTGGAGCAATCGATGGACAAAATCGAAACCATTAACTTTCACGAAGAGAAAGAGGTCTCTGGAGTGCGCTTTTGGTGCTATAACGCGGGCCACGTGTTGGGCGCCGCTATGTTTATGATAGAGATCGCCGGCGTTAAGGTCTTATACACCGGAGACTTCTCACGTCAAGAGGACAGGCATCTCATGAGCGCTGAGATACCCGCCATCCGACCCGATATATTGATCATTGAGTCCACTTATGGCACACATATTCACGAGAAGCGCGAAGAACGTGAGGCCAGGTTTACGGGAATCGTTTACGACACAGTGAGTCGCGGCGGTCGGTGTCTGATCCCAGTGTTTGCTTTGGGTCGGGCGCAGGAACTGCTGCTCATTCTGGACGAGTATTGGTCACAACACCCGGAACTGCACGACATTCCCATCTATTACGCGTCCTCTTTGGCCAAGAAGTGTATGTCTGTATACCAGACATATATCAACGCAATGAACGATAAGATCAAAAGGCAGATCGCGATCAGTAATCCATTTGTATTCAAACACATATCAAACCTGAAGTCAATCGACCACTTCGACGATGTGGGTCCGTGTGTAGTGATGGCCAGCCCTGGTATGATGCAGAGCGGCCTCTCGAGGGAACTGTTCGAGACGTGGTGTCCCGACTCTCGCAACTGTTGCATAATCGCTGGTTATTGCGTTGAGGGAACGCCAGCCAAACTAGTGTTGGCCGAACCCGAAGAGGTGACGTCAATGAGCGGCCAAAAGATCGCCCGAAAGTGTCAAATAGAGTACATCTCGTTCTCCGCGCACACGGACTACAAGCAAACGAGTGAATTCATACGAGCGCTAAGACCGCCGCACATAATGCTAGTCCACGGAGAGGCCAATGAAATGAACCGATTAAAGGCCGCACTTCACCGCGAATACGAGGACTCAGACAATCCGCCCGCTCTTTACACTCCCAGGAATACAATCGCCGTTCAGTTTCACTTTAGAGGCGAGAAGACGGCTAAAGTGATGGGAAGTTTGGCCATTGATCTGCCAAAAGCTGGCCATAAATTGTCTGGAGTTTTGGTCAAACGGAACTTCAGTTACCATTTGTTAGCGCCGACGGATTTGAGTAAATATACAGATATGGTTATGAGTACTATTAGCCAAAAGCTGAGCGTTCACTTCACCGGCACTTTTCAAGACTTGTGTAACATTTTATCGCATTTTGATTACGAGATTATGGAAAGCAAAAGCGGAAACAAATCGATTCGAGTTATGCGTAAAATTGTTATTGTGTTGAATACTGTGAGTAAATTCATAACTCTTGATTGGGTGGCGAGTCCTGTCACCGATATGTACGCCGACTCTATTGTCGCACTACTTCTCAAGAATGAAGGCAATGAACACAACAATCAACTCAACGACAAGGCATTGGACGCACCGCTTCTGACAGACCTCTTGAAAGACATGTTTGGTGTCGAAGAGCTCACCAACAAAGGAGACACCAATGTATTGATGTGTTGTATCGATGGAACTGATGTCGAGATTGATTTGAATAAAAAACAAATTATCAAATGTAATGACGAGACCATCAGTTCAATGATCACTAAACTTCTCTCATGTCCCGCATCTCAAGCCACTACTAAATGATTTAATCCTTAATTATTTATTCATTTAATCATTTGTAAAATTAATTTTTAAAAAATAAAACAGGTTTAATTTGATTCTATTGGTGATTATTTAATTACAATAAATAAAATGTTAAACGACTAAATACCGGTAGTATTTATTTTATGTTTATCTTATTTTAACATTTATAACGTTATTAAACGTTTATAAGACTAATAGTTTTGGCCAATACAGTACAGTATTTAAGTATTTAACAATTCTAAACAATGCTTTTAACTATTGACAAAACAATTAACTACTTTGCATATATTTTAAAAAACTAGATTTTATCATGTAAAACTATATTACTGTATAAAGTATATTGTCAATAATATATTGAAAAGTAACCATGCACTTGCACTAACACATCATTCTCTATAATGTGATATTTAACTTATAAAGTGAATTAGTTTTTAAAATTATAAAAACATTTATGCAATTAATGTTTGAAAGAAAAGTTTGTAAATTAGATTAATTTTTAAAACTTTAATTGTTTGGTGTTTTTCATGATCTGAACACTCATTGAAACTTCCAGTACTTTGATTGTGACTATAAGTCGTTGCAATTATTTTCATCCTTTTGTGTATCAAAGTTGTGACAAATAATTCTTCCGTTTGTTTTCATCCGATTGAAAGCGTCTTCGCTGTCGTAGGAGAGAGTGATTCCAATGTCTCGCAGTCTGTCGTTGTATTGACTGTCAAAGAGTAGGCTCTGTTGTGGAGTGAATTGGTTCCTCCAGTCGCCGATTATGCCTTTCCTCATGAACTTTGATTTACTCATATCGAAGAGGTCTTTGATCGGAAGGTTCTCCCGATTCACCATATTATTGGTCTTCATCTCATCGAATGTGCAGTGCTTTGCAATTCTGTCGATCGTATCCTTTGTTAGTTTATGTCCGGCAAAGTTTGC